AATTTTATAATTATTAATTAGATTTATTAATTTAATTTTATAATTATTAATTTTAAATACGTAATGAAATATTTTAAATTTATAAAGAAATTATATATTTTATATAAAGAAGAAAAGTATCTTAAAATAAAATACCTGTACGTATCTCGCGATAGAGTCTTAATAGAGAAAGATAATACATCATTGTTGTATAAAAACAAATAAATTACTCTTTCTGGTACCGTTTCGCCTTCAATTATAACCCAATTACAAACTTTTATACCGCACGCAAATTAGGAGAGTCGTACGCAAATTGGCCTCCGTCGAGCGCTCCGCTTTTAACGATCCGAAGTCCGCTCGGTCAGGTAACCTTCTTCGAAACGTCATAATTTACCGCACGACTCTTCTTATTATCTTCGAGTCGGTTGAGCACAAACGCGAGAGCCGGAAAGGTTTTTATCTGCCCGCGTTCGTCTCACTCGAGCCAGCGACCTGGCTCTCGCGATAGGTACAACTTAATCGCACGTCGGACCGTAACGCGAAAACTGTCCGACCGGATAAAGCGCGAGCGAAGACGGTAGCGGATGTGGCAGCAACAGCAGCGACGGGGAAGCCCGATCGTCCTGGACAGCGTCGTGGAAAAACAAGGGTAGCGGGTCCATCTATTAGGTCACACTTACTAGGTGTTTCGAACAAACTCGGGGAATCCAGGTAACCCGGTAAAACGATGGCCGAAAGCCCGGAAACTCTCCGAGTCACGCGCATTATTCAGAACAGTCACGTGAGAGAGAGGAAGCAGCGAGAGGAACGGATTCTCTGCGTCGGACCGCTAAATGAATTTTTTATAACAACCCAGTTGTATGAAATCTCCCGCGAAAAACAATTCCCCGCACTGTGAGAATTTAAATGGATGCTCTAGGGGAATTTAGATAATGCAGTTTAATTTATCCTCTCTTTCTCTCTCTTCTCCCCTCCCTCCCCCAATCTCTCTCTCTTTCTCTCTCGGTATAAAGCTGCTGTTAAAATCTATGGCTATTGTCTAAGTTTTCAACATGGTTCGCACGCGGATAATTTTATAAATATATCAAACAAAATTTCCATTGTATTTATGTATATTGAAGATGTATGTTATCTACTCTCTCTCTCTCTCTCTTTTTACGTTTTCGCTGTATTATCCACAAGTCTTCTATAAATTACATAATACATTGCCTAGGAAGAAACAGCTCGCTCACTGAACAAGTTACGAACGCGAATAAAGAATTGTAAATTGCGAGTGTATCCTTGATCCCTTAATCCGAACTTTACCCTCTACTTTTATCCTTGCCGTCTACTTACTTCTTTCGTACTCTTTTTTTCGAATTTATAAAGTTACACGTCTCGAGAAAATTGACAAAACGCGAATATTATATTCAAGGAGGATTTTGAGTAAAACTTTATGTAGAAAAAAAACTTAATTTTTAAAAATAGGAGGACGTACGCGCAGCGGAAGACGTGAACTTTGTGTAATAAATAAAAAACGGAAATCGCGCCGAGTCCGACAATATCTGGCGACAATCGAAGCTGATCGTCTTCTTCGATCAGTCGTCGTTGTCTCTCAAACCCCTCGGCAAACATTTGAACGCGAGATGATACGATGTCCTCGCGTCCATCCCTATATCCTCCGATCCTTCTCATCCTGTTTCATGCGATGCAATATCGCTCGGCGTTTCACGCCGATTTCCCGGACCATTTAAGTCTCATTAAATGTGCTTTTATTAACTCGCACTCTCAAACATTAATACGGTGCGTAATAGGTTGCGATATGGATTAAGAAGAATCGTGAATCACTCGAAAAATTTATTATTGATTAGTTATTATTATTGATTAGAGACTTCTAGGTATTGCTGATGCAGAGATTTCTAAGTATAACAACAAAAATGTATCGCTAATTGTTGTACCTGCTGGAACATTGCTTGTATAATACGTAGAATTTTATAGCGATTATCAATAATACTCTCTAGCAAATTTCATCTCATTATAATATTAATCACTGCTTTGAGTAAATATGAGTTTCGATATTAAAATAATCTTTATAAGAAAACGATTTTTCTATGTATCATAATCAAACTTAATAAATTTATAACGAGCATGATTAATTTCAACATGGATAGGTGTCATAAAAGGATTTCCTAAGTTTCACTAACACAGTTCATATATAAATTTTGTTGTCTCCATCATTTAAATTGATTAAGTGCAAAACATATATCAATATTTGCTAATTTTTTTATCTATCATACATATATCAATATTTACTCATTTTTTTTATCTATCTCAGTTAATTTTTCATATCCAGAAAATTGTTGCTGTAGTTGCAAATTTTTTTTCCTTTTTTTTAGTGGACGTTCGCAATGAGTTTTCGGCAAAAACGATATAGGAGACAAGATTTTTTCTGGCGTGGATGCATTTTTTTATCAGCGATCTCTATATTGACGTTAAATAATTTTTTTCCCTTATTTTGCGGGAACGCGATCGCAATTAATCCGCCCTCGTAAGCGCGAGAAACCTGTTATCCCGATAAACATTATCACTCGGCAAGTTTGTCATTATACAAGAGAATCTCTCGAGACACGTGCACAGATAATATATTCTCGAGAGTTTAAAGTTTCACTCGCGAAAAGAGATCAGATGCAAACCTTCTCATCTATGATTAATTATAGAATTTAAAAATCTATTAATAGCACAGATTGTTTCGTAATATCATCTTTGAATATACTTTATTCAACTCTCTATTCTTGAGTATTCTCTATTCGAGAGTTCAAAATTTCACTCGCGAAAAGAGATCAGATGCAAATCTTCTCCTTCTCATCTACGATTAATTATAGACTTTAAAAATCTATTAATAGCACAGATTGTTTCGTAATATCATCTTTGAATATACTTTATTCAACTCTCTATTCTTGAGTATTCTCTATTCGAGAGTTCAAAATTTCACTCGCGAAAAAAGATCAGATGCAAACCTTCTCCTTCTCATATACGATTAATTATAGAATTTAAAAATCTATTAATAGCACAGATTGTTTCGTAATATCATCTTTGAATGTACTTTATTTAACTCTCTATTCTTGAGTAAGCACAGCGAGAAACGCGGCGTACAATGCATCCCTTTGCAATCCTCTCGCGATGCCCATTGGAACCTGTAATTGTAATCTGCGTACATTGTTTAGGATGCGGAATGGACACAAATCGAGTGTGATTGGAAAGCAATTCAGATAATTGCATAAACAGATAACGTTATTGCGTATACTCAAAGTTTGTCGACGATGAAGCTTTTACAGCGCGAATGAACACACTTTGAAACAAAAATATATGTCGAAAATATTTTGCGCTCTTCTTGAAATGACGTCAAAAACAACGCGAAACCAATGCTTACTTTACGTTACGTTCTATATTTTGCATTACGGAAAAGAAACGTTACAATCATAATATTCGGTGGAATGCGGTGTTTCACCTCGCTTTTTAGTTCTCCATCATTTTAGTTGGAAGATAATTATTAAAACTCCTGTGTGTCTATTTCATGCGCACACCGCAAAGTTACTCCACAGGAGAAATATCGTTTCTAAAGTTACCTAACAGCATTAATTATTATCGCTGTCCCAGCGATACGAATTTCAGATATTTTTGTATCATTAATAAACGCGCGGGTAACGTGAATAATTTTTGTTGCGTGTTATATAATAAACAATAGCGCGATGGCATAATGTAATCTCCTAATTGCCAATTTAATATAGTGGTTAAAGATAAACGTACTCAACTTTAATTTACCTCCGATGGAATTGCGATTCCTGATTCTTACGATATCGTAAATAAAAGAGTAAAAGCCTCAGAAATAGGTTTTCTTTTGTAAGAATAAAGTTCGGAAACATAATAATGTAAGGTGCAAAATCTTTGCACCTTACATTATTATGTTTCCGAACTTTATTCTTACAAAGGAAATGCGATTAGATAAAAATATATGCAATGATATATCGATGATATTACGATTCACATAATCACCTTTTCTCCTGCGTCGCATTTCAATTGCCCGCGCACACGATAAATCAGAGAAATCCTTCGATTTCCAATTTGCAAAGCCGTGCCCACGCTAATCGACTTCTGACTCTCGCGTCCGCCCAATAATAATCGAAGATCGTGGGCGAAGATCGAAAGTACAAATGGCGCAACACCTCGTTATCCCGTCCCCTTTTCTTTCTCCGTTTAATATTCGCGATACACTTTAATCGTTCATCAGCCGCCAGAAACTGATCGCCTCGATAAAACGGACGATGCCAGGGACGGATGACACCTCGTCAAAATCTGAAGCTAATTTTTTTTTAATTCTTCGACAAGAAAGAAGTATCTCTTTTTCAATCTATTATCTTATATCTAAGACTACTTCAAAAGACAATTCTCCTTCTGAAAACTGGTGACACGGATTAATTAAAGTTGACCGAGACTTTAATATTTCTCGTCTCTTGCTGGATTATTTCGAAAAGAAGAAATTACTATCGGTTAAACTTGGGCGTATTTTATCTAACGTACGATCAGAAGAATCCTGAGCAATGTTATTTCGAGGTTTGTCGAAAGTAACGAGACTCGAGTTTCCGACGCAGATCCGCCCCTGGCTGGAGACGGCAGGAAGGAGAGGTGTGAGAACCCGAAGTAGAGTTGGGCCAGCGACGACGGCGGCGATGCGAGAAAGGGAGAGCGGCTCTTCTTTCTCGACGGGATCCGCTGCAGCATCAGTCGAATAGTGGGTGCTGCGATCGTCGAGGACCGGCTGTTGTCCCCCTCCCCTTCCTTTCGCTTCAACATCGGTCTCGTCTCAACCAGACCTCTTCCACCCTTGCTCCAAAATGCCTCTTACGCAAACCTCCCCGCCGACCAAGGATCTCCCTGCCTTCCCTCTCCACTCGCTTACCTTCCCCCACTAGCCGACGTCCACCATCCTCCATCGTGTCGGGAGTCATCGGCTGGCGTTCTGTCCTCAGTCTGTAACCGACCGCGTAAGCGTGCGGTTCTACTTTGAAGCACGTGAGCCACGGAACCGATCCTCACGTTTTCGCTGATGTCCCGCGGTGATCGCGTCGCGAATGGATCTACGCAGGTCGAGGCCGGTTACAATTTCGCTCGGTAAGATCACGTGGAATGAGACAAGGGTGATTCTAAATGTCTCGTAAATGTCAAGTTGTCCGAAATCCGTTGCCGAGTGTGTGGCCAAGTGATAGATCGGGGAAATTGTCGAGGATCGCGTGAACCCCCGATCGCGTGTATCGAGGGTCGCGGCTTGAAATTTTCCCGGAATACATTTTCGTAATCCGCGTCCTTCGCTGACACCGTCTGCACGACAGGACGTCGATCGGCGCGGGCCTCTCCTTCGGCGAAGTGACGTGACTCGCGATACTTCCGGCTTCCGCGAGCGAGCTTTCCCCGACGTCGGATGGGAAAGGGATCGCTCTGACGGTCGCTTTTATCGATCGATCGAAACGTGCGAGGCGAATCGACCCTCGTCATCCGCGGAGGATCCACGCTCCGAAATTTTCGGAGCAACTCGACCGAGTCCCACGCTGCGCTCCGCTTTCAATTGGTCACGGACCGTCACGAGAGCGAGTGGGTTATTATTAATTTCATCGTGAGGAGAGAGAAAGAGCCGCTCGGTTACTCGCAGTTACTTCGCCCGACGAAACGATGAGTACCCGTTGGAGCATCAGGCATTAGACGTGCAATTTTGACAGAGTGGTACTCTGACTTATCTCTCTCTCTCTCTCTCCCTCCTCTTCTCTTCTCCTCTTCTCGACAATCGTTTCGATCTACGCATGTGTGAAGCGACGATTTAAACGACGTCGAAAGGTGCCGGAGTGTCTGTGAAATTTTTACTTGTGCGCCGCACAAAGTGCAGTGAATGAAGGAGATCTGGATTGAAAGGGCCGCGACCGCAAAGGGAGGAATACCCCGAGTCTCCGTTCGCAACGGACGATAAGACGGGCCGGGAGATCGCGCGACTCCAATAACAACAGGCCTGTTTCTTTCTCCACTCCCCCGCCTCTCTTGGCCAAGTGTACAGAGGGACAGGTGCCGCCGAGACAGAGGGTTTCTCGCCGTCTCGTCGTATTTTAACGCGCCCGCCGCGAAGTTTAATTTGGGATACGTTACCCAGGGTTTTCGCGCGCTTTGACGTAACGCGGTCGGTCGCGCGCCATCCATCGACGTCGCGGGTTTCCCCTTTGAAGTCCAAACCGGAAGGATCGTTTATACGAAGCGACGAATACGCTCGTGTGTTTGCCTTGGGTGATTCGAGAGCAGACGACGACGACGACGACGACGACGACGTGCACGTGTGATCGCGTCGCCGCGATCGTTTATCCCCCCGTCCACGCGCTGCGTGGCTCGACGAAAAGTCTCCCACAACTTCCTCCGTCTCTGTCGCCGTCGATGACAAAGAGAAGCGAACCTTCTCTCCTCGATGTGCGACCCCACCGCGTTGCTGGATCTAGTGCCGGGCGAGGGATTACTCAAGAGGCCGTCCATGGATTATAACGAGTACACGTACTGCTACGGCGGTGGTCGAGGTGGGTGGCATTTCTTACCCCCGGTGTTCTTCCCTTTCGCCTCCCGTCCCTCCCCTTCCCTCCTCCCCCCCTCTCCTCTCTCTGCTTCGATGCCCCGACCACCGGGAACTGCGAACTCGCGCTCGACCGCGGAACAAACGAGATTTTCTATCGCGTCTCGGATTGTCTGACGATCCGATGGATTCTTTATACGCTTCTCGAAACGTGGCCGATCACAAAAGCCGTAGATCCGGAGCAAATTGTCGGAAAGATCCTGCATCGATCGGTGATTTTGTTATACTGTTAATAATAATTAGCGTTCGAATTAATGTTCGTTTAAATTACTATTTAAGGGTGTATCTCAATTATATCAATTTTTTGACACGCTTCTACGTCATATTACGTCCGTCATTATTTACGTACACGGTCTATATATCTGACAAACTATACAAATTACTTGAAATTATGATTTATTGATCATTTAATAATGGTACATCCTATATTTGACGAGATATTATTTCGGATATTGGAGTAATTACAAGTGCTTATAAATTTCGAATCGGTGGTTTCACCTCTCATCGAGCTTTGCGAAATCGCGAGTGATCCTGACGCGTGCAACGACGATATCGCTTCTGGTCCGTGCGAAATTTAAAAATGAAAGGCAGCTCTTTCATGAATATAAGAGAGAATATAGCCAATCAATCAAAGGGAATCGGAGTGTAGTTAAATATTTAACAATGCAAAATGGAGTGGCGTTGATAGAGTGCTGTTCCCGATAACTCGGCTTCTCTACAGAAAAACACAGTGACTAATGTTTTTATTAAAATTGACGTTTATTTATTTTCATTTATACGACGTCGTTCCGCGCTATTTCAGAGATTACCGAGCTTTATTTCGTTGAATACCGATTTGAAGGAGACACGTAATCGCGCTGTTTCTCTAAAGATATATATAAATCTCCCTCTAAAAAAAATCTTGAAAAGATATCTGCTTGAAAAAAAATGTTGTTGCAATTTTCCGTGAAAGCTAAATCGTACTTTAATGCCGGATAATACCTCAATTACCAGCGAATAATAATTAAGAAGGCACGAGCCACGCGATCCAACTACTCGTGATGAAGCTTCTATTTTCGGCGCGAATCGATTGTCCCGAGGCAACGCTTCCCCGCGGTGAATGGAAAAAAGCAGCAAGACGAAAACATCCCCGTGGAGCAGGGGATCGTCACGCGATTGCATTATCACGCGGGCCCTATTTGTCAAGTCGACGTATCCAAGGCGTGACTCGGAGAAACTTTTTCGCATGTAAAACTACTTGATAGTGTATGTAAATGAAATTTTCCATTATATATGCGCTTCTTAAATATTCGACGATGAAAATCGCGAGTTGAGTGAAGGAAAAAACCGAGGAAACGTAGACAGAGTACCTTGTAATATCCTTAACCACATCTTCGAATGTCAGTTTGTGACTTTACAGTGACTTACTATTTACGGTGCAAAAAAAATGATTAATAAATCGCGAAAGATTCATAATAATTCTCAATTTTATTTCAAATATTATTGAAATGCATTTATTACGAATTAAGGATGTTTTGTACCTATTTTCAAAATATTGAGAATTTCATGAAAATTGTACAGAATGTCCTTACATATGTGTTTAGAACCTTCAGTACAATTTTTAAATCGAATCACTAAAGCGTTCACAAGTTGTAAGGATTTTAATTTGCGCCGAATTAACATGTGTTCTTATGGGAAACGTATAACCACGTCGAGTCAAATGACAAAAACACATGGAAATAATATTCAGAATTTGTTTAAAATTGCAAAAGTTTAGATACCGAGTAAATATTTGGTCAAATACAAGTACTAACTGGTTAAAAATATTAAGTATAATTTAATATTTAGAAGTTAGCCATGTATCTGTCACAAGGCGAAATTCTCTGTCAAAAGTTAATTATTTCGATTAATAAAATTCGGAATATTTCAGTAAAAACGCAATAAATATTAAAAAATACATCTCTGCACTGTGGCTAAGATCAAATTGTAATACTCCACACAATTTCTCATACTCAAAATACACCAAAAGTAGATATTCGTCAATATTGATTTTCAGCTACTTTTTGCTGGGATTGTATGTACAAAACATCCTTAAATAATCGCTATTTTTTTTAAATTACGACGAAGCAAAAATATTCAGCTCGACGAGAAAAACTGTTCTTTGTGCGTTAAAATATTTACACATGCTTTTAATTAACTAATTAACAAAATCTCCTATAGAAGATACGACTTTCACTGATATGAGTGAGCAAGTGAGCTTTTTTTACCTTGTTAAATCTTCATAATCACATATTTCTTTCTCTCACGCATTCTTTTAACAACTTACTCATTCTTCTAACATCCTTCTAACTTATATCTTGCGACGTGGGAAGATTCTAGATAACATCTGTTGTCGAAAACAGAAACTTGTTTCATTTTGCCGAAGCACGCTGCAATCGTCAAGCGAAATTCCATTTTAAACTCTATTACGCAAGCACGACATTTCCATTAAGATTTTCCGACAAAGTGAACGGAAAAACGAGCATAATTATCGTTGCTGAAAAGCGGGGCATTGCACCATGACATTGCTTCTTGCTACTATTCTATCACTCGATACTTTGAATTTTCCCATACGCGAAATAATTATTCCTCTGAATTTTCAAATTAGAGTCTCTCTCTCTCTCTCTTTCTCTCTCTCTCTCTCTCTCTCTCTCTCTCTCTCTCTCTCTCAAAGTATCGTTGATATGTTTTCGTGCCTGATATTGATACCAATAATAATAATTAATAAGTATATATATATAATTAATTTTTAAATTGTTGATGTGAATTAATTAATTATATAATTATCTGTCAACACAATTTTCTACTCTTATGATTTCAACGATTTCAACGTTTCGTACAAAATAACTGATTTTTCGGAGAAAGCCTAAGAGCTGACAATTGGCACATACATATAAACAAAACAAAATTGAAAGGAGCATTTTTTTTCTATTAATATATATACAACATAAAAAATTCAAAGAAATGTCAGAGCAGTATGATAATATCAAAACTCAAACGTCATTAACTTTCGCGCACATCTGCTCGAATAAAAGCGTGATGGACTGGCGAATCGGCCAGACTTTGACTTAGTATCTCTATTTTTCGCTATGGAAAGCTGCGAGAATCCGCTACAGACTCGTTCCGACTTCGCGATAACGTTCGAGTCGCGATAAAACCTTCATCCCCGGCGCGAATCGATCGCCCGCGGGCGCAACACTTTCACCGTGAGAGCGCGGGGCGGGAAGGGGGGGGGCTAGGGGGGTTGCTCAGGGAAGAAAGCCGCGGAAGAACGACAACGCGCGTGAGACATACGAGGCAAAGGGATCGGCGAGAGCGAGGGAGCGGTTGCATTACCACCACGCAGGAGCCGTATTTATCACTCTGACATTTCCAAATGTCGCGCGGTTTATCAGGTGTTCCCCCGGTAGAAGCCTTAAGGTACCTTCGCACGAACCCGCCGCGATCGTGAGAGGCCACGAGAGCGCATGCATCGGCGACATCATTAAATTTACATAATAAGACGTTGCATGGTCGAACAGCGCGTCGTCGTCGTTGTCGACGTAGTCGTCGTCGAAGCCGTTGGCAGCTGCTGCGATTCGCTGGTAATTTAAAGAAACTGGTTCAGTTAGCGCCTCGATAGGGAGGAGCTAGATAGAACGAGAGAGGTGTTGACAAAAATGTTGAATCTTGAACCTCTGTCCCTTTATCCCGCGCTTTTGCAGACTCGCCTGATCTCCCGAGGCTGATCGATTCTATCAGGTGCAAGCTTTGACGTCGAATGCGAAGTCATAGATTCTTCCCTCGCGCTATTTTCAACTTCACTTATCGAACACTTTCCGAAGATTGGTAAAACTTACCTCCGATCTACTCTCCTCGATGAAGTGCGGAGGGATGGATTCTCCATTATCATGTGTAACTTGGTCGATGAAAAAAAAGTGTAATTCTGGAAACAAGTTGCAATGATTACTGGCAGATTAGGGAAGCCGAAGAGTAGATTTCGTAGATAGTTTGAGAAGTAAAATGGGTTGTGATTATCGTGCACCTTTTGCTCGGAGGAAAATTAATCTCTTTTACGAGCGTTTGGATAGATAAGACATTCGTGATAACGAAGAAAGTAATCTTTCTCGACTTCTCGAGGACTCGGTACTCATATCAAGATGTATCCTCGTGACTAAAGACACTAAAGTAATTGACTACGTGCTTTTTTCACCATTTATATTCCGAATGCTTGCGCATAAAAGTGTGTCACGTGGCATTTGAAGCACAAGTAGCTTTTATGATTTTTTTTTCAACGATTTTATCTCAGAAACTGGGAAAAAAATGTTCGAGAGCGAATTTAATGATGTCTGTCGAGAGGATGATGAGGAGAAGCTGCAAAATTAATTGATTTGGAGCAGTCGTCGAATCACGTGCGCTCTAAATCTACGATGGATGGCCATGTCCGCCATAATGCGTTGCGTTTGTGCAAACGTGACCGATTCGGCCCTTTGGCGCCCATGCTCGCGCATTAAAGTTATTCACTTTAACTATTTTCAAGTTTCGGGGCACGACTGCCGAGTTTCCCCTCCGTCAAGTGTACCAGTCAGCGCTGCATTCCTGAATGCACCGTAACGATCTTTTGGAACGACGAGCAAAGGGCGCCTCCAACCCTTTCGTACCCGCCTCGCTTCCGGTTTCCGGCGCACCGCGCGGATCTCGCGGTATTGTGTTCCGCTATCGCCAAGTTTTGTTACGTCGACGGAAATAAGACGAACCTAAATTTACGATCGTCGATTTCGACGGAATTTTAAACGAGCGAGTGCAACGCGATACAACTGACAGAGAGATATTTCTTTTTTTTTCTCTTTTTCGTTGAGACTTTAAATTTCCGCAAAGTTGTCTAGCACATTTGTAGACTTTTAATTACAGTATTTTTTTCTATCATTTTCTGATTTTGGCGATTACGAA